CGCAATCTCTGTTTGGGAGATTCAAAATGTTTAATTTAATATTAGTGCTGTCAAGCGCTTAATCGCATCCAAAATAAGTATTTATATATACATCATATATGTGTGTCTACTGTGTATATTTATTATGTAAACAAAAACTTTTATTTTGGATGTGATTAATCGCGATTAATCGTTTGACAGCACTAATATTTTGATAAATTTATATTTATTCATATTTATATTTCAAACTATAAAATATAATTTTTAAAATACATATTTGTATTTTCAAACAAAAATTTCTACAGTTTTTTCCTATATTTATTTTTTCAGATATTTATATTTCATATGTATGAAAGAACAGAATGGATTATAATGTTATATATATAATATTATATATCTCTCTCACATCAGCTATAACATAATTAGACTGCTAAAAATACCTATCAATCCATGCATTCACCTGCCCACATCTTTTGCAGCTTACGTTCAAATCACCAAACCTCCATAGTGACGCATCCACTGATTCACCGTCATCCATCTATAACATCCATCCATCTCCCTTTCTTCTTCAGCACAGCCACAGTGATTCAGATGAAGGCAGTATACCCAGACCTGTCAGACAAAATGTGTGGAAACCAATGGAAAGTGTCAGGAACATTTATGGTTGGGCACTAATGCTTTGCTTTTGATATGCATGCGTAACCTTAATGGCAAAACTAATGAGGTGGTATTGTGGTCTATAGCATTATATCATAGACAGAGTCCTATTTCTCCAGTTAGCAGAGCTCAGTGGAGTAAAGTGACCTGAATTCCTGAGCTTCAGTCACAGGGGAGTGATGCACAGCTGATGGCACAACTGCTATGAATGAGAGATACCGAGCACTGCTCACAACGACTGTATAAAGACATTCAGCAGCCATTTGCAAGATGCACACTAGAATCTGTGCATCCATTATTAGGCTAAATGCAACTTTACAAAAATAGTGTGTGTGAGTATAAGCACTCTTTAAATCAACACCAGCTGCCACAACTATGAAAATGCCAATGGTTCAAAAATATTAAAATTAGTTGAATGATTTAATATCATAAATGTCAATATTATATCATGATGATGTAATATAGACAATTGCCAATTGATCTG